TATAATAAATCTAACTTTGTTGTTTATTTAATGAAAAACTTTAACTTTTATCAGTTATTTTTTTTTATAGTTTTAGAATACTTTTAAATTATTATTACAAAGTTATAATTTTTTTTTAACTTTATTTCAATATTTAATTATATGTATACAGTATTCTAAGAAAGTTTTTATATTAATTATATTATTTTTCTATAGTTTAATTTTTTTTTTTAAGGTAATCTCTTTGGTCTTTTGACTTTTATTAATCACTTATTGGTATTGTGGTTCAATGAACTACTACAGAAGAGCATACAATTGGTTACATGTGTAACTTTTCTATATTACCTATTTAAGAAGTCCACCTGAAGGTTCCCTACCAATTGCTATACCTAACACTCCTGCTTGGGTGTTCTACTTTAAACTCTCTAAACCTGTAATCTGTATTAATATCACTGGTCATCTCAGATGTACCAAATCATTATCCTCAACCTTAGGACTAATTTATTCTTAAGGTAAACCTCCCAGAGCCTTCTGTACCTATTTTTATAGCTAACCTAGGTATTGCTATAGCAGAACCAACACTTGTAATCAGGGCTAACCATTAAACCGCTATGTCCTTGTAGAGTTCACTTAGACTCCAGCATCTACTTCACAGTATAACCCCAGTACTTTAGTATACCCCTGCCTTTTCGTCTACCCTTTTACCAAACTCCCAATTCAGATAGCTCATATAGGACTACGACTAGTCTATCGATATATCAGATCGGCCTGATATCCTTTTCTTTCAGTTCGTTCCGGCAGTCGGATTAGTGATACCTTCAAGACTCCCAACCTGGAGGTTCTTGCCTGTCTGGCTACTAGGACCGGGTACTAGATCTGGGTATTTGTTTCACCAAGCTAGCCTTTACAGTAAGGCCATTGAAAATCCAGCTACCTCTCTACTCAGGTCTTCCCAAATAGACTTCATGTTACCTAATTTCAACAGATTTATATAGCCACAAGGACTTATCTAGTGTTTGCATTACTTGATATATCAGTTTGCATTCCTCTGTGTAACTCCAACATTGCACAGATGCCCTATAACCTGCCAGTTATGCTGGTGTGACCACCATTACAGGTATTCTAACTCAACTATTAGTAACAGTTGCTGTAATATGAATATTACATAGGTGATTATCCAAATTTTCACCATCAATAGGATTTGAACACCCAACCTACCACTTGGGAGGTTGACAACCTGACCACTTCACTAGGTTACCACACTCCTCTTGTAGAACTTTAGTATTAACTTTATAGCATATCTCTTATACTTTTAGTATATCTTTATTTTGTCTTTAGATTTTTAATTCAGATAGCTTAATAGAACTATAATCTTTTTTTGATATATTAAGTTTGATTCAATATTTTTTTATTTAATCTGAATTCTGATAGTTTAGTTGGTAATACTTTTTATCTAAAGGTTCTTATTTATTTGATTTTTTTATATTAGTATTTATTTTTTAAATCTAAACTTTATAATAAAATTATTAAAGATCTATATTATTTTTTTGCTTAAATTTTTTTAAATAAGATTTAGTTTTTTCAGTTTTATAAATTTATATAGTTACAAAGACTAATCTTAAGTTTGCATTACCTAGTACCAGTTTGCATTTTTTTGTATAACCAAAGTTATACAAATGTTTTATAATTTGTCAGTTATACTAATATGATTATAGTTACAGATATTCTATTTCAACTAATTAACAAAATGTTATTGCTATAATACAGATGTATTTTTTAAATTTTTGTCTTTAGTATGTTTTTAAACTTATAATTTGTTATTTGAAGAAGTAACAACTTATTTATTTCAATAAGTTATTATACTATATCTATAAATAAACTTTTGTATATAAATTATAATAAAATTAATATAAATAATAATTATGTTTTTTTAAAAAATTTTATTAATTTAGATAATTAAATTGTAATTTGAATTTTTTTTATATTCATTATTAAAAAAAGAAATCTAATATTCAATATAATCTTTGATATAAAATACTATTTTAAACTATAAATATTATCTTGTTTAGTTTGCTAATAGAATTTTATATAGATTTTTAATTTTATATATTTACAAATAATTTAAGTAATAACTTTTATAAATAAGTAAATTTACAAATGCTTTTTTAACTTTTAATAAAAAAATTTTTATAAGATTAAACTGTTAAAAATATATGCCAAATATTTTTAATAATATAATAATAATTAAAATAAATATATTTATAAAAAAAATATTATATTATTTCAAAATAATGTTCTAGAATATTATTTAGAATAGTATAATTACAAGTTGCTTTTATTTTAATAAACTCTTAATATAAATATAATAAAAAATTTATATAAAAATTTTTAATACAATAAATTTACTAATAAACATTTATAATAGTTTGTAAAAATATGTAACTTTACAATTTTTATAATAATAATAATAATAAATTTTAAAAATTTTAATTTTTTATTAAATTTATATTTGATTAATAATATCTAAAAATTTATATAATTCTTTTATTATAAAGATTATACATTTTTGCAAAGTATAATAATATAATAAAAAAATCTTATAGTTTAATAACTTTATTATAATGAAAATAACTTTATATATAAATTAAAATTTATATTTATAGGAGTTTAGCAACCTAGTGAAGTGGTTAAATTATCAACTTCCAAGTGATAGATTTGATATTCAAATCCTATTAATAATAAAAATTTGGATAATCATCTATGTAATATTTATATTATAGCAACTGTTACTAATAATTAAATTAGAATATCTGTAATAGCAGTCATAATAGTATAACTGACAGGTTATAGAGCATCTATATAACTTGTTATACAGAGAAATACAAACTAACAAATTGGTAATGCAAATACTAGATAAGTTCTTATGGTCATATAAATCTATTGAAATTGGATAACAAAAAGTTCATTTGGAAAAATTCAAATAAAAAAGTATCCAAATCTTTGATAACTCTACTATAAAGACTAGTCTAAAAAAATAAATATTAAGGTTATAGTATCTGGTCATAGTAACTAAATAAGCAAAAACCTCCAGGTTAAAAGTCTTAGAGATAATACCAACTAGGCTATCAAAACAAATTAGAAGAAAAAATATTGAGTTGATTTAATATATTAATAAACTAGTTATAGTTCTATATAGGCTATTTGAATTAAGAGTTTGGTAAAATGACTGAACAAAAGGCAAAAATATACTAAAGTATCAGGATTATGCTATGAAGTAGATGTTGGAGTTTGTGTAAACTTTACAAGAATATAGCAGTTAAATAATATAACTCTGATCACAAATATTAGTTTTGTTATAATAATATTTAAGTTAGTTATAAAAATGAGTATGAAAGACTCTGAGGAGTTTACCTTAAAGATAAATTAGTCTTAAAGTCAAAACAATAATTTGAACATTTGAGTATGATCTAGTAAGTTAATACAAATTATAGGTTTAGAAGGTTTAAAGTAAAATATATAAGCAGAAATGTTAGATACAACAATTGGTGAAAAATCTTTAAACAAACTTTTTAAATAGATAATATAAAAAAGTTACATATATAGCTAATTGTACTTTCTTCTGTAATGGTTCATAGAATCACATTACTAATAAGTTGTTAATAAAAGTCAAAAGACAAAAAAGGTCACCTTAATACCAAAAAAATAATTTTATATTTATTTAATTAGATTAATGATATTGCATAACAAAATATATAAACTAATTATAACATTACTAGTATTAATATTTTATAATAACATTTTTTATATAAGTTATAAAATTTGATAAAAATAATTTTAATACAATTTAAAATATATTAAATTTAACTAAAATTATTAATATAAGTTTATTAATTAATAAATTGTTTATATAATTTAAAAAATTAATTAAGACTAATTTATTATTTTGATAAAAAATAAAAACAATATTTATAACATTGCATAAATAATAGTTTATAGTTTATTTATTATAATTATAACAGGTTTTTAATTAAAAAGTTTTTGAAATAAAAAAAAATAATTATTAACAACTTGATATAAATATAATTAACAAAATGTAAATAATTAAGGAATAGTATTATATTTTTAAGATATTTTTTTTTAAAAAAAGTAAATTATTAACTTTTTTGAGAAGAATATTAACAGATAAAAAATCTTTAATTAAATTTTTTATACCTTTTTTTTATTAATTTATATATTATTTGTATTGCAGTATATATAATTTGGTTTTAAATTATTTTTTATTTTTGTAAGCTTACTTGTTTTTAAAATGTAGTTTTAAGTTATAATACTTATTAACAGTGAACTTTATTTTTTATTTAACAGAATGATTGCAATAATTACACAATATTATTTTTTTATTTTTTCTAAAAATACTAAAATGTTTTTTTAAATAAATATTTATAGAAATTTTTTTATTATATTATTATTTTAATAATTATTTTTAAAAAAAATTCTTTTTTATATTATAAGCTTTATATTTAAAAATTTTTTTATTTAAATTACTTTAAAACAATTTTGATATGTTTAAATTATTAATATATAACATTTTGAATATTTAGTTATTTTTAGATATTTGATAAAAAACTTAAAAACTTAAAAACTAACAAAAGAAACTTTACTTAAAAAACTTGATCATAAAAAAAAAAGGTTTATTTAAAAACTTAAATATAAACAAAAGAAGCTTCACTTAAAAGACTTAAATATAAACAAAAAAAGCTTTACTTAAAAAACTTGAACATAAACAAAAGAATTAGATAATTAAGAAGTATGATGCTGTTTTAACATACTTGCTTAAACTTGGTTTGTTTTTTAATTTTATATTAAATACATTATTTCTTATAATTTATAATTGATTTAAAAAGAATACAATATAAAAAAAATTAATTATATTATAATAATTGAATTTCATAACCAATAAAATGTATAAATATTGCAATTGAAAATAATTTAAAAATTAGAAGAATCAGGATTTATAATATGACATGGCTGAATTAACATTTGTTATTAAAAAACAAGTTTTAAGATTATAATAATTATTTTTAAGAAATGCAAAGGTACGTCGTTGGATTTTAAATAATAGTAATCTGTAGTTTTGGATCACAATCCGTGGTATTATATAAATGTCTTTTTTTGATTGGTCAATAATCATGCAAGTGTGCATAAATCCATTCTGTAATTGAAAGAAATTCAGTGAATTACAGAAAATTACCATTCATGCTTCCGACCTCTAAGTAAACTTTTCAGAATAAAATTTTACTTATAAAACACTGGATATATAAAGAATTTTTGAGATACTACGATCCATATTTTTTTGTCTGGCAACTCGGAATTTTCTTGACATAAGGATATTCTACCATTATTCTCTTCTACGCCAATTCAATAAAACAATAATACGTACTTTCAAGATTCTCATGAAGTTGTTAGCCTAGCTGATTTAGATGATGCATATGCGCTTTATGCATATCTAATTCAATCCTAAAAAAAATGACTTTAACTATTTATAAATGAAAATATTGCACGAAATTCTAAGAAAAATCTCAACAATATTATACGTAATAACCATTTAAATTAAAAAAAAAACCTAGTATGTAAACGTTCTAAAAATGATTGTTACTGCTTAACGTTGAGTTTATTAAATATTTGACAATGTAAGTTTAAACTTCCTCAAATATCTTATTACGTATGTATGAATAATAAAATTTTAGAGTACAAGATTGATTTCTTTACGTACGTACAGTCGGCTCCAAAAGTTTATCACAGTTACACAAAAACAACTATACTTTATGTTGCTCTCGACATAGAAAACCTTCGATATAAAAAGCTCTTGGCAAGAAAGTTTTATATATGTTTTTAATATAAGAAAGTTTATATAAGAAGGATTTTAGCTGGACCCGGTGACTTTTTCTATATCAAGAGTCAGTTGTATTATTTTTGTGTAACCGTGATAAACTTTTGGAGCTAACTGCACATAAAATATTAGCGATGTTACACCAACCCTATAAGGTATCATTTACTTCACCGACAATCATTTCACCGACTCATTTGACCGACATCACATAGGGTTAGGATTAGCATTTTATTATTTACTGGTATATATTTTTAGTAAATTGTCTCTTGGAGTGATGTCGGTTAAATGAGCTGTCGGTGAAATAATACCGACCCGAAATTTTATACTTTCTATATAACCCGTTGACCCGGGTCACAACCCGGGTATGACCTCTGGTTAGGGTAGAAAAGAGAGTTTAAAGTAAAATTTTGCGATAAATTTTTTTTGTTATAACGCAGAAGATAGTTATCATTAGGATGCAATGTGTAAAAGCATCGCAGGGTGGCGATAATAAACCACGTACGTATTCGTTTGTGATCTTCGATTACCGTTACAGTATTACGAATATCATACATAGTCTAACTTTTATTAATTAAATTCGATAACTTATTAGTGTTAAGCTTTACAAAATTCATTTAAAATTTAAACCGATCTTTTAGTTCACATGACCATAAAGATAACGATAAGGTGTTTATTGTCACACAAGTGCAAAGTGTGCATTATATTATTATCGTACTATATAATTATAAATTTGTCTCGTTTTTGGCACTAAGAATTTGAAAATGTCTGCTTTTCTCGGTATCCCGACCGCAGTGCTTACGGACTCTTATAAACCTACTCACGCGTTTCTGTTCCCTGAAGCTATAAAGGTTCCTTTAATAATATTTTTTAAAAGGTGGCATTTTGTAACTAATAACTACAGTGTATAATTGTGTAATGTGACTTATTAAACTGTTCGTCAAAGAGTGTAGCGTATGGTGAATTTAGGAGCGGGTATAATGGTGACAAAGAGGACACTCGCATATTATTTTATGGGATCCGATACATGTGAGTTTTACTAATAAAAATGTCTTGTAAAATTTACTTATTAATATGGTTATCATGTTTTATTATCTGCAACAAATCATTTAATTATCGCGAACTAGAATTGAAAATTATATTTCTGTGAAATGGACTTTACAAGATGTTGAATTGGCAGAAAAATTTTATGGAACTCATAATGCCGGTTACACTAGCTTTCCTTTTCCAAAAGACTTGTTTCTCAAGGTATAGAAATATATATATAAATTGATAATGATATATCATTTTACTACTTTATACAAGTTTTTGTGCGCGAATTGACAACTCGAGTCACGTCAGATTTCATTTTCTATTTGATATATTGTGCGATTATTGTGGGATTTCGCACACAATTCTTCTACCACGTTACGTTATATAACGCTAAATACTAATTGTATTACTGATTATTAATAAATCCTAATTATATCGATATTGATTAGTTTATTAAAGAAAATGACGGGTACTTTCCTATAAAAATTGAAGCATTACCGGAAGGTACTGCTTGCCACGTGCATACTCCTGTTTACCAGATTACAGCCGAAAAGGAATATTCATTATTGGTTACATTCTTGGAAACATTGATCACAATGATTTGGGTAAACTTTAATTGATTTAATTAACTTATTAATTTTATTACATCTTTATAATATTAATTTATACATCCTTCTTTGTTTGTAAAACGCGATAAAGTATCCTACGACCGTGGCAACACTTTCGCGCCGTGCACGTGATGTAGTCGAACAAGAATATAATGATACCGTTGATGACGGTATCAAAGATTGGTCATTGGAAACGTAAATATTTTTAATGATTTACTCATTATCTTGAATATATTTTTACTTTACTAAAAAAAATATTTTTAAGTAAATTACATGATTTTGGTTTTCGGGGATGTACCTCATTAGAACAATCTGTAATTGGAGGTTCCGCTCATTTGGTTGGTTATTATTAATAATTATGTATGATAAAATTATAAATATTTACGCTATGTATAAATGTATTATATGTAAAGATCAATTTCACTGGATCTGATACAATGAGCGCTGGTTATTATGTTCAATTTAAACTCAATAATGGAAAACCTGTCGCCTCCTCCATTCCAGCGACTGAACATTCCGTTATGACTGCTCATAAAACCGAAAAAGTATGTTAATATGAAAAAACCTTTTAAATATTATTATCAATGATCATAACTTATTTAATTCATTGTTGTTGTTGTTGTTTATTATATATAGGACGCTATTTTGCGCATGATCGATCGGTTTGGTATTGGTGTATTTGCTTGTGTGATGGACTCCTATGATTATGCTAACGCGTTAAATAAAATTTTACCATCAATTGCCGCTCAAAAGGTTGAAAAGGGTGGTTTCATGGTTCTTAGACCTGATAGTGGTGATCAAGTGGAAGTGGTTTTGATGGCACTCAGGTATATTAAATAGTTATATACTATTTATGCTTTAAATATCATGTTGATTATTAAAGATCGTTATATATTATTTTTAGAGCTGCTGATAAAGTGTTTGGAAGTGATGTAAATAAAAAAGGTTATAAAATCATTCGAGGTTGCTCTGTCATTCAGGGTGATGCTGTTACCATCGAATCCATGAAAAAAATTTTGCATGCGGCTAAGGAAGCCGGTTATTCAGCAAAAAATATCGCATTTGGTATGGGTGCTGGATTGTTACAGAAGCTTAATCGTGATACAATGAGCTTTGCTACAAAATTGTGTCACATAACTTATGCTGATGGGTCTCGAAGGTTAGTTTTTTTTAAATGTTAAGAAGTATTTTTAAATTTACCTTAACATTCTAATAAACATGTATAATTTTTATATATATAGAGACATTATGAAAAGCCCTAAAACAGAAACCGGAAAAATTAGTTTGCCCGGTGAATTTGTCGTCAAGAGAAATGAACATGGAGTAAGGCATAAATTTATTTTTTATTTATTTTTTTGTTACTTATTCCTAAAATATTTATTTATTTTTTTTGTTACTTATTCCTAAAATATTTATTAAATTTTTTTTTTTTTTTTTTAATTCCTAAAATTTCAAACCCTTTTACATTACAGGTACCAATTGTTTATCCTAAAGAGGTTTGTGCAGAAAACGATCCTGAAAACCTCCTACGTGTGGTTTATGATCATGGTAAAGTAATTGAATGGGATGACTTTAATACTATTCGAGAACGTGCGGCTAAAGAATGGTCATGTTTACCACGTTCCTACGATAACATTAGTCCTGAACTTAGAGAGAAAATTTCAAAATGCATTAAGGAGATTAAAAGTAGATTGGAAGAAATGTAAATTTGGAAATGATCAGATTACTGATTCTGCTTCTTATTTGTATTTTTATTGTATTGAAAATGAATGCAGAATGTAATAGAGTATATAATTTTAAATTGAAAATATTTTAGTTGGGTATTGGCAAATTTCAAGGTCAGTTACTTTTTTAAAATGATTTAGGTTATTTTGTATATGGTGTTGTAAAAGCTTATAATTATAGTATGTAATTAGGTTATTTCAAAGTTATTTGTCAATACTAAGCTTTGGTATTAGTTCTTTGATTATTATATATTTTCTCATTATAGTTTTTTTGATAATAAATATGTAAAATATAACTAATGCTGCCAAGCATGTTTTTATAAACTATACTTGTACCAAAAATGCAAGTTAAAACTTAGTTGATTTTAAATAAGTTTTATATTTAAAAATTCTTTTTAAATATTTCTAATTTAACAATAATTTAAAAAATTAATGATGGTTTAAATTTTATAAAAATCTTTGTCATGTTTTATTTAAATAATATTTAAAGTAACCAAATCTTAATTTTTAAATATTTGCTCTCTTAAAAAAATTTCTAGATTGTTGACATGAATCTTTTTTACATTTTGGACATCTTAACAAATATTGGTTTGATAAAAAATTACCAGATTTAACCTTTTCTAAATGATCTTTTACAATATTTGCCATTGCATTTATAAAAATTGGATCATCATTTAAAGATTCTGCACGTTTTAGGCCAGTTATTCCCACCTATTATTAAGAAGTTTTTAAAAAATAAATAATTAGTGAATAAAAATATTTATATACATAATCGCATTTAAAGTTATTACTTTAGTAACATTTGCCTAAAATTACTACTTAATGCAATGCAAAAAGATTATTTAGGATATAATTTTAGTTAGATACAACTTTCGCAACTCCAAACAGATAGCAGTTTTAATCAAGATATGTATATATGTTATACCTAAAGTAGTTCTATTTGGAGCTGCTATTTTAAATATATGAAGTTGCATCTAACTAAAATTAAATCATAAAATTATATTTTTATAAATACATTAAACAATAATATTATTCAGATATTTCTTTAAATATCTAAAGTAACAACACCCAATAAGTGACTGCTCTAAATACAACATATATATGTTGTATTGAATTGAATTAATTCAATCTTCAATCCACTTCATTAAATTATTATTTGCTCTGGATTCTACTTCAGGTTGTCACAAATTTATAGACATATTTTAACCCACTCCAGCTTGGAATGAGTCAACCTGAAGTATGCTACTCCATTAATAACCCTATTTTTATATTAATGTTTATACTTAAGTATTACCTTTTCAGCTTCATGAGCATATTCCAAATCCAATTCAAATAAAGTTTCAATATGATCACTTGTAAAAGCAATTGGAACCAATAAAATATTTTTTTCTCCTTTTTCACCAAGTCCAATTATAGCATCTCGAGTTTGCGGTCCTTGCCATGGTTGTGGTCCGACTTGAGACTGCCATACTAATCTATAAGGATTTGAAAACTTTAACTTTTCCATGACTGCATGTACTGTTGCAGCTACTTCTGATGTATAAGGATCACCTCTATTTACTACTACCATAGGGAGTGAATGAGCAGAAAATAAGAGGACTACTTTGTCACGTATTTCTTTAGAATAAGTAAGAAGTGATTTTTCGATGTGCTTAGTGAATACCTAAGTTAATAAATTTGCTATTATCATCTAGTAATAGTTGAACATTTAAACGATAGATGAGTAAAGATAATATTAATATTTTTAATCAAACTTATGGTGCCTACTTCGATCAATCCAGGATGAGTTGGCCATCTATCAATAATACTCCAAGTAATTGAACTTTCAGGATCTATAATTTCAGACTTCCTCCAAAGTTCATTTAAACTACTGCCAGTGGTTGAACAAGAGTATTGTGGATATTGTGTGAAAGCAATTGCACGTTTAACACCATCTTTTTTCATTTGAATTATCGTATCTTCAGTTAATGGGGGTGCATAACGAAATGCAATATATACTTTATGTGGTGCTGTTTATCGTTAAATAAAAAAAAATTTAATAATTTCACACATAATATTAATTTTTTAAATTTAAAATTAAACCTACCACTCAGTGGACTTATTTCATCCATCAACTTTTCCAATGCGCTACCTTGTTTCTGGGTCCAAGATAATATAGGCGATCCATCACCAATTTTTGCATATTGTTCTTGAATTTTAGGTGTTCTTCTTTTTGCAATAATCGGTGCCACAAATTTTTGGAATGGGATTGGAATAAGGTCAGGATCTGAAAATAATCTTGTTAAAAAATCTTGAACACCATCTAATGTTGAAGGTCCGCCTAGATTCATTAACATTATCGCTGTGGGACTACGGTTGTTAAGCGAAACCTTTTCTGCATAGTGACGAAAGATGAAACCCTGACGAAACTCCAAATATCTTTGATTAAAGACGGAACTTAAGATCGGAAATGATGAAGGACGAAACCTGGTAAAACCTTCATGAAAGTTAAAAATAGATGATATTTTTTTTAAAAAAAAATCGAAAGTAAAGATTAAATTATAGTTAGTAAATCATTTTCATAATATCGAAATGAGCCCTTACCTTTCATAGATTTCTTCACTATCTATTGCTATAGTTTTATCACTTTATTGGTTTAATACTTGATTATCTCGAAAAGTCTAATAACAAAAATGTGGCTTCAAAAGTATCGAATCGAAACAGATTTTAGCCAATAATATTTCAAGACCAGGTGCAACATAAAAATATTATTTTTTTTTAACGTGAAAGTTGACTGATTATGATTGGCTATCAAAAATACGATTTACGAAATTTCATCAGTTGAAAATAACCATTCAAGGAAAATGCCCTTTCCGAAATTTTTTGCCCATCATGTAGTAATTTCTTCAAAATTTACATGTCAGACTATTAAAAAATCAAAGTCTCATTATCCGTTTCTATTAATTTCTAAATCTTTTTATAGTACTAATAATAATCTAAATTCGAATATCCCAGAATTTAACTCGAGAATAAATTCAAATTCCATAGCTGAAAAAAAAATCCCAAAGTATATAAACAACAAACCAAATCTACGAAATGCACGACCTCCAAAATTTAAAAAACCCGAATTTTTGAAAGATCCGTCTCCATCAAGGAGGTCGTTATCAAATGAAATTACAAATATAAATATCGAAGTAAAAAGGAATAAAAAGATACCATTTTCACAACAGACGCCTCAAGAAAGAATTAAAAGATCTAGGCGATATGAAAAGAATAAAATTATTTATAAGGATTATAGGACTGTCAATTTTGAATTATTAGAAGGTATCTTTCTTTTTTGTGCTAGATAGGCATTCTAAATTACAATTTATTAATCCATTTATCTCTCATTTGTATATAAAAAAAAAAAAAGATTTTCCAAAATGGTTAAAAGGTTTAAAATATCAAAAATATGCACCATGTTTTGAGGGGTTGCATTGGCGAGAAATTATAGAGTTAGATGAACTTGGTTTATTATACAGAGGTGTTTATAGGTTAGTTGTTAGAAGAAATTTGTTAATGGAGTTTATGTTTATTAAACAAACTTTGGTAAGTTTTGATTTTTATCAAAATATATTGTACCTGGTGATAAGTGAAAAAAAAATAATTAATTTTTTTGTTTTTTTTTACTTTTTTAGAGTAAGATGGACAAAACATTTAAAAGTGCTTCAGCATTAACAATAACTTCCAAATTATCTTTACTTCAAAACAATAATTTATCCACACCTATTCTTAATTCTTTAACTTTTGGTAAAAATATTGAACAAAATAGTTTTTTATTGTTGTCTCCAAAACAGGAATTAAACCAAAATTATGAAAATAAAGACGATAATGTAAAAGATGAAGAAATGTTTACAAATATAATTCTTGCAATTAAAAACAATCAAGATCAACTTAAAAATAAATAATTGTTATTATTAAATTATAAAATTAAAACCAATTTACTTGTTAATTATCTGGTTTTTTTAATAATAATTATCGCGGTTGATGCTGAAATTTGGACCTATTTTGATATGAATTTTTTTAAAAATTTTAGTTTTTTTTCACAGCTTTTTGGTATGGTTAAGTTAGTGTTTATAGTTAGAATTGATAATTAAAGAGTATATGGGATCTAACACCCATCGAAATTTTCCGATCGGGACACATTTAGACTAACATAACAGTAAATCTTCTTTCACCTTATTGATTCAATAGGCTATCGAATAAACGTTTAATCAATCAAAGCAAAAAAATGATTTGATTTAAGTTTGTCCGAATTAGCCTGCCAGGTTTGTGGCGCAGATTTCCTGAACTACGAATCAGATTTCAAGATCAGGTGGTACGTAACACGATCAAGAAAATTCAAAAATTACTTATTTCTCAAAAACAGCATAAGAAAACACCTTTAATGCTCTAAAAAAATTTTTGTTAGGCAATTTTAACATATAAACTATTCCCTTCTAATTCCTAACCCTGACCCTAACCCTGACATGAACGAGCTTTAAAGAATTTTTGCTGCGCCACAAACCTGGCACACATTCAAGACATGCCTAAAAAAGATCCCATATGTGGATTTTAGCAGTGCTTATATTTTCAAATCACGACCCAAATTTCAGCCACGACAATAATTATTAAATGTTATTAGATCTTGATATAGAATTATCACACTTATCATTTGCACACCTGATCTGTTTATTCGGAAAAACATGTTAATAAGTATTATAGTTAAGCATGTCTTATTTAAACTCATGAAAAAACATACGTATTAAGTGTTTTCCGATCGATGTAGTCAGACGTATGCTAATATATTTGTGTGATTGTTATACTTGCATTCAATCTTTTTTTTGGCTCTTCATTATAGAATATAATCAGCAATGATTTGACAACTATAATTTTAATGAAAATATTTCATAAAATAAAAATGAATTTAGAATCTACTAAAGGTGGTGATTCTAATAAACAATTTGAACTTGGTATTTGTTATCAATATGGCATAGGCACTACTAAGAATGAAAAGAAGGCATTGAATGGTATTTAAAATCTGATGAAGGTGGTAATTCCGATGCACAATATATTCTTGCACTCTGTTATGACGAAGGTATAGGTACTATTAAGGATGAAAAGAAGGCATCTGAATGGTATTTAAAATCTGCTGAAGGTGGTGATTCCATTGGGCAATGTAATCTTGGATTTTGGTACAGATATGGCATAGCACTACTAAAAATGGGAAGAAGGCTTTTGAATGATATTTAAAATCTGCTGAAAGTGGTAATTCTGGTGGGCAATGTAATCTCGGATTCTGTTACAGTCAAGATATAGTCACTATTAAAGATAAAAAGAAGGCTTTATGTATTTGCTACGAATATGGCATGAACACAATTGAAATGAAAAGAAGACTTTTGAGTAGCATTTAAAATTTGCCAAAAATCATGATTTTACTGGGCAATGTTTTTTAGATTTCTAGTAAGTTAAAGTTTTGAGTAAAATGAACAGTTACTATAGCAAATTGTATCTGGGTTCATAGATCGAGTAAGCTTTTAAGGTAGATAATATGTATAGGTAATTGCAGTGTATAGTATAATCTTAATAAATAAAACATAATTATTAAAAAAAAACTATAGTATTAATTTTGGTTTTATATACAATATATTAAGAAGTTAAAATTTAATTATTTTATATATAATTAAGTGGTAGATCGTGGTTAAAGGGCATGAATTTCATAGTAAAAATTGGTGAAGATTTACTATTACTTTCATATAATGTTGAAATGTTGAAAGCTTCTAGCAATATATAAAAGTCATATAGTTATACGTAAAAGAGAAAATACCAATAAGTTTTAGTTTATTAAACCCATTTGAATAATTCTAATACTATTAGAATTAGACAATATAATTCTTTTTAATGATTACTTGAATCAAGTTTATATCAAAAGAAATTAAAGATTTAAGACTTTTAATAGATAATAATTTTAGTTTTATACAAAGTAAAATTGTTGTTAACAAATTTAGCATATAAAACATCAAGAAACAAATATTAAAATAGACTTTTTTTTTAGTAAATTTTATATATTTAATATTTAAACTAAAAGAAAATTTTAAAAATAAATAAATTTATTAGTAACTAGTTAAGAATATTAAAAACAGAGGTGTGGTGACTTGAAGTAGTAAATAAGTTGTTAATTTTCAAGTTGCAGGTCTAGTATTCAAATCTTATAGGTGACAGAAATTTGTTGAAAAATTAAACTTTATTACAGTAACTGTCTTATTAATTAGTTGAATTCATGTATTTGTAATCTTAAATACACTAAGTTAGATTCTACTTAATATTAAAAGTGTAATGTTGCATGTACATAAAAAAAATAATAAAACTAGTATTATTAATACAAATTTATAATAAAATTATCAAATACAAAAGATTAAGAAACTAAGAAGACAGAAGCCTATTTAGAAATTCTTAAGTAAAAGTAGTACAAATTTTGATAGTATTATTGGATTAATAAAAGTTTATGAAGATTTTCTAAAAAAATAGACAAATAAACTGAATAACAAAATATATAAGAATCCTAGTGTAGTAATTGAGTTGTCATCCTCTAAGTGGCAGGTCTAAGGTTCAAATTCCATCTATGATGAAATTTGGAAATTATATCTGTATTATAGTAACTGTTTCCTGTTAATTAGTTGGTTTTATATAGTTGTTACCCAGGTACACCAAGTTGGGTCCTATTGACATTAGGAGCTCAGGCATCTATGTAAAGTATAACATTACATATATATAGAGGAATGTATAATTGGTATTGCATAAGACTTCAGTGCAAACCTATGATAAGACTATCAGATGTAAAAGACTAAAAAACCAAGGTAACAGAAACCCACTTGGAAATTCCTGAATAAAGAGATAGCATGAATTTTCAACAGTACTATCAGACTAGTTAAAGCTTACAAAACACCTTCATAGGAACTAAAGGTTAAAACTAAACATCAAATATATGTAGAGGAACACATAACCAACCAGACTGCCAGATTCATCAGAGAAAAAAGATACAGAGTATACATACCAGGTTATCTGAATTAGTAGTCTGAAATGAGACTGATAGTTCTGAGTTGTAACTAGTAGAAGATGATGAAGAAGATGCCAGAAAGATAGGTACTGGGATTCTAGTGAACTTTACAAAAGTAGAAATAGTGTAATATAGCAGTTAAACAAGTAACTTCTATAACTGCAAGTGTTAGATAACTATAACATGTTGCATAAAACTAAGTTTATATGTGTAGGACATAAAGGCTCTAGTAAGTTTCCTATTAAGGATAAACTAATTCTAAGGGTAATAACAAGTATCAGGAACTTGAATAGATGTAACCTTAAGATGTTCTTATAATACAAGGAGGATCGAATATATAAAGGATTTAAATAGACAAGACCTCTAGTTGACTTGCAAGTATGACAATTAGTGTAGAACTTATATAGCAATATGTAAGCAGATTACTTAAATTAGACACCAAAAATACATATATAGCTAGTTGTAACCTTCAATATAAGGTGAGCCTCTAGTGACATGCTGTATTTTAATATATTTAAATAAAAATATTACATCTCCAAGATAGAGACTTTAACTATAAAAAAAAAAAAAAACAAAATATATAAAAAAATATATATATTAATTATGTTATTAGAATTAATAAAAAAAAAAATACAAAAGTATAATTTAAAAAGGTTTATTAATTCTAATTAAAAAAAATTATAAAATATAATAAAAAAGATATTAGAAAAATAAATACTAAAGTTTAAATAAATTTTATAAAGATATAGCAGTTTAATAGTTAGACTTAACTGCAAGTATTAGTTTTGGTTATAGCATTACTAGATTAGTTATAAGTATAAAATATAAAAGACTTTAATAAATTCAATACAAAATCAAAGATTTTTTATATAATTAAACTGCTTTAAAGACTTTATAATTATAATATATTTGTATTAGTAATAATCAAAACAGTTAAAAGAATAGATAAGTAGATAAATATAAAAACTAATTTATTTAAATAACAAACTACAATAGGTTCTAGATATAATAATTAGTAAAAAACTTTTAAATAAACTACTTAAATTAGATAATAACTAAAGTTATATAAGTAGCTAGTTGTATATTTTTTTATAATTGTCCTTTATAATTATAATGCAATTATTAGCTAAAACATACTATATATTAATAAAATCCTGTATTGTAAGCATTTATCTTAATATTAAAAAAATATATTAAAACCAAACTAATAAAATAAATAATAAAATTTTTTTAGCTTAAATTTTTATAATAATTTAATTTTTTATTAATTTTTTTTTATAAAATAAAAAATTAGATTATTTTTATCAAAAAATTAATATTATTTATTTATTTTATTTTATTTTATTTTATTTTATTTTTTTTTAAGCAGTTACGCTAGTGCTTTATTAAGATTTTTAAAACTACTACTGTAATTATATAAATTTACCTAACAACTAAGCCTAGCATCACCTGGCTACCCTAATGGCACCTAAGTGCAACTTGTCGCATTACTTTTTGCAGAAGTAAGCTGCTTGTCTAACTACTTAAAGTCCATAATGAAAGGGTCTTCTCCTTTTCATGACAAGCTTGTTAACTGTCTTGTTAACTGTCTTCCTAACTTCTTTTTCCATTTGTTTCTCTTTTTCTTCTGTTTTCTTTTTCTTTTCTTCTATTGCTTGCTGATTAGCCTTTCCTTTTTTTTTTATATTTAACTTTCCTTTCCCCTTTAGTCTTCTTTTTTTCTCTTTACTCATTATTCCTTTTCCTTTTTCCCATAAGTTGACCTTTTCACAGCAGATTCTCCAGACTTGTTCATAGAATGTATTCTATGTTGTTTCTGCTACTATGTTTGCGAAGTGTTGTCTTGTTTTCATACTTAAGATTTGAGATAAC